GTTGCTTACAAGCTAGCTCCATCTAACCCGCGCCTGCAGTCGAAGACTCCTAGACTTGCAAATTTAGGGTCTCGCCGTCATAGAGCAGAACTGACCGCACACTGGCGCAGTTAACACGACCTNCTTTCAATATCACGTCTACACCAAAGGTGTTTCAATCCTGCGTAAGCTGCTCGAGCCTTGGAAATGCGGGCGGTTACTTCATTGACTATGCTACCGTCATTTGAAACGCAGCTACCTAAGTATGTGAAACATTCCACTAAAGCTAATTCTTGACCATGAAGCATCAGCGCCGGGGTGGATGACATCCAGTCTTGTGGCATCATTTGCACTTTGAAGGTGCGAAGCACGTGCCGAAGGGAGCTACAGAACTTGCAAGTCTGTCAGGAGCGCTTTGTGCATCCTCCATAGATTCGAACAGGCATACGATGTCATCAACGTACTCTAAATCGCACACCTTTCCTCCAGCTACCCATTCAATACCTACAGTTTGGAGACCACTGAGTGTGTTCTCCAGTACTTCGTCCACGATGAAATTGAACAGGAACGGCGAAATAGAGCACCCTTGACGAACACCGCTCCTGGTTTCGAACGATTTACTTAGCCCACCTCGGACCCTTACGCTACCAGAGGTATGCAGGTACAGCGACCACAATAAGCTTATATATTTCCGTGGTATTCCTTTGCGGAGCAGCAACCCCAGAAGAGTTTCACGATCAACTGAATCGATATCTCCTTTTAGGTTAACGAACACTGCGATTGTTGGTCGACGATGTGAGGACTTGACTCAGGGTGAAGATTTGGTCGATGCAACCGCGACCTGGTCGGAATCCAGTTTGCCTTTCGTGGATATTCATCTCCCTTAAGGGCGTCAGGCGACGAAATATCACAGAATTCAACAATTTTTTGATTATCGGAACTAAACTAAACCCACGGTGGTTAGCGCATTCGTTGCGTGATCCCTGTTTCAAAATCGGGACGATCAACGATTTACCCCATCATCGTACAGCGAGATACAGTGAAGCGAGCTTCACTGATCGCTGCCAAGCTCACAATGTACACAAATCAAATGATAAAGCATAAGATGGAGAGGGATTGGGCCTACTTGGAGGGAGGCCAAGAAAAAGAACCTCAATGTTCAACACACTGAGTACACAATCTAAGTGTTCATACATACCTTTTCAAAAATTCTGACCTCATAAGAAATGACAACAAGAACGCCACTACTATCGGTTAGTCGCCATATCCCTTAATGTCTCCAGCCAACCAGTTGTAGTCTTTCGGACCCCAACCTGGAAGATGGGAGACACCGATTCTACCTAATCGCTCTGTGCATTTCTTCATGCCTCGCTTCCACGTCATCCGTTAACCTCCACGCGGTTTCTTTCAACCTGGAGCCGCAGCTGCGAATAAGGCGCGGTGTGGCAGACGATGGCTGAAAGGGATACGCTCCTCTGACCAAAGGTTGCAAAGTAAGCTAGTAATGGAGTCGACCAGAGAATCACCGCCCACCTTGAAAAGAATAGGGAGAAGCCCATCAGGTCCCGCTATTTAGTGATTGAATGCAGCGTCGTACTTCCTATTCAGATGGAGGCTCGCATGTTACCACCCGCGGAGTTTCTGCCACAATTGCTGGAATGACCGCATTAGCATTGCTCAATAAAATACTTTTCCGAGCGATCTGGTCGTTGTTCTTTATTGTGGATACTGTCGACGTTTATCGCAAGTGGTCTCATTTACCGGTATGCGACGAACTCCGGTGCTGCGTATCAGGTGAAACAGTCTGACTATTCCCTGATGCAGAATCTACCTCCATTTCACTAGCTATTTTGGCCCACTAATTTTTGCGACCTTTCATGAGGCGATTTCGGAGTTGACGTTGCAGGAGACACTGATCTTTATGCTATGTTCATGGTCCGACTCAACGGTCCAATGGGATCTGCAATTTTATACAGAACCACGCCAACGGTGGCTTACAGCTATGTGGTTGAACCATGTAGCCGTTCGACGAGAGCTGTCGAAAGTTGGTGCTAGATAAGAACAGCCGGTGATCCGCACAGAACTGAAACTGAGTCGATCACCGTTGTCTGTTCGCTGGGTGGGGAGGGCGAGGTGCCCTCCTAGACAGGCTTCGGTTGCGCTCAGTTTTCCAACCTGCGAGTTAAGATCACCTGCCACCACTATAATATCAGAGATGCGGCTCAACCGAATTAATTCGACGATTTTGTCATTAAATTCGTCCTTGTCAAGCGGGACTGCAGTTGGTGTATGCGTACGCGGAAATGATGATCAAACACCTTTTGGTGTTGCTACCCCTCCAAACACTAACTGAACCCTGTAGGCTGGTGGCAGCGCAGTCGTTTAGTCGCCGTCACCGGCGTGCTTTGTACCCTATGGTCCGAGGTTTGGGCACCGCCACCCGACTTTCTGCTGTCGTCCGGTTCAATACCACGCCTAACCTATCGGGGCCTCGTGTGGTTCGCCACTCCAAGTCCCGGGGCCTACGGAACGGCAGTTCGTCGTGACTATGGGGTTCGCCCCGTCCGCTATTTATCACACACTTAGGTGTGTGATAAAAAAGCCTCATTGCGCACAAACGACCGCTAGCGGGTGTCTAATCTATTATGGAAGCTTTATCGTTCAGAACGATCCCTACACCACGCTGACACAGTGAGCGAGCTTCGTCGTCTCCTGATGTGCGAAGGAAATACGTCGAGGATAGACCCAGGTGGCTTATACTAGGATCCTGAATTCGTGTCTCCGATACGCAGGAGACATCAATTTCTAGAGAATTCATTTTACGCCCCACACGCCCGTTGACTCACCTGCGTAGAAGTTCTCATGTTGAAAGCCCCCAGATTGGGAGATTGACAAGGCTGCAGAATCTGCACTTTATTTACTGGAAGACTAGCTACAATTTTATTTGACGAGTGACGAACAAGTTGTCTGAGGGAATGTTACGGGTTGGAAGAAGGGGTTAACGGAGAGGGTTGGATACGGAAGACAGAGTTAAACAAAGGTTGGGATATCTGAGCAGTAGTCCACTTATCACTATCCACTCCGCTCGATACAATGGGCAGAGCGGTCCTGATTATCCTGCGCGAGGACCGATATAGTACGGAATTATTTTTGGTTTGTGTATGCGTTTGAGTTTGACGGACGGGTACCGCCAGGGTGTCTAGCCACTAAGCAGGAGAGAGATTAGGGTTCTCGTCCAAAGCCTTTAGTTCTGACAAGAACCTGACCGCAAGGCAGCGGGTAAAGCGAAGTAGAGACCCATTTACTTGGATCGATCATTCCTCCAACACGTTTTACCGACTGAGACTCCAACTCAAGTCGAACCCCCAACCAGGAGACTGGACTTTGTCTGACCTCTACCCGTTGACGTTCCATGTATGATCAGATCTACGGCTTGACAAAAGCCATCCTGTTTAGCTCTTTGGGTCAGAGAGGTGCACAAGACATCACACCACGTCAAGGTGCAGTCTTGTCGTGATGGGGATATAGCTCAGAGACAGCTATTAAGGGAAAAATAGTATCTGTTTCGGGACACCACTGTACCCCGCTCTCTCTCTCCATATATATATATATAGCATCAACGTAACCAGTGGGATTAAAAAGAACAAAGAGTGGTCATCCCTTGATTTTTAATCTGGAAGGCGAGATGCATCCATCGAAGCAAATATTGAAGCTGACTTAAATCCCTTTCCTGAATCATAGTTCCAACGCTGCGTCAGCTTTTTGCATCACGTGCGACCACGCCACGGCGAGGTAGACAACAGTCAGGTATCAGCAAAACATGTTCGAAGCACGGGATTTTTTTGCGAGTCAGTAGTTTTGATGGAGAAAAAATGACTAATTCCCATCGATCATGATTAAGACGGGTAGGTGGCGCCTGTAATGTCAGCGAATGAAAAGCCACACGGGTTCGGGACACCTTGTGGTTTAAAAGCAGTTAGTGAAATGGAAGTAGCCACTGCAACAAGGGATAGTCCGAGACTGATCTGCTTAATTGGTGGTAGGAGGATCCCGGTTCATGAAACAATCCGCTATAAAACTGGTCAAGAAATTCAAAGGTGAGAGGCTTATTTGTTGGGGGAATATTTTACCGAACAGTTCAGTTAGTCTACTGCTGCCGTACAGAGGGTTGATCGGCCTCTGGAAGTACGCTCTAGGAGAAAATAGTTCACTTTGGCAACAGTCACGCAGCTCAGTGGACCGACTCACCGCAAGTATTCGGATCAGGAGCACGTGCTATGAAGGTTTGAGAATTGAGCACACCATTAAAACCGTGCGTGATTCCCTGTACTCGAAAGCAAAAACTAGTTATCCCGCGAAGATTATTGAAAGTTCGCGTCTCATAACAATAGCTAAATAATCATTCGAGTCACGACTTAGTCATTCAAAAGAAAGTAGCGGCGGTCGAATGGTTCGAGACACGCAGCACGGCGGCGCAAGAGTTAGACCGAAACACCGTACTTTGGAAGTAATAGGATTCAACATTGTCCGGGTAAATACCATACGTGTTCTATTGCGGTTCCGCTTCCCATGACCGAACACTAGGAAAACGGATTTCTCTTTCTTCGGTTCGTTAAACTGTGCGCGGTCAACGTGTTGCGCATATTCTATCAGGTGGGCGGGAAAATGTGACTTTGAATTCAATGGACAGCAGCGTTTAGGCTTCTTTATCTTTTATTGTTGAAACTTGTCATCACAACAATATGGTTCTTACTATACGAAAATAATCATTAGCATTGGAAGTCAGCAAAGTGACAATTTATTCCAGCATGCCATCAAGAAATTCGTACAAAGGGATTCGGTTCACAGCATTCTCAACGTGACTTAGAGAAATGGTCTTTTTGTGGTCGAGGACAGTGAATTTGTGGATATCTTGAGAAAAATTCCTCAAGAATAATTCCAATGCCTTTTCAACTAATACTACTGCATCAGAATTGATGAGATTAACCGATGGTACAGTTTTCATTATGGTTTTGATGCGTGATGCAGGGAACCGGAAACTCTTTTGATTCGAGCTTTTTTTCGTGAACTCATTCCGCTCTTCTACGGTGGGTACTGAAGTTTCGATTTCATCTGGCTCGTCAGCTTCGGTCTCTGGTTCGTCACCTGCAGTTTCAGCTTCGGTCTCTGGATGATCCGCCCCATCTTGTGACGACTGAGAACCTGGGAACAGTTAGTCTAAGTTAACGGTCACTGACTTTGTGATTGAATCTCTGTGGCTTCTTCGTCGAGGGATGTTAGCATGTTGTAGAATAATCTGAAGATAGAGGAGATACAACGAATATGAAAAT